TGTAGACCCTCTGGACGCTAATCAAGGCGCAAACGCAAGGTTTGTGAACCTAAAACAGCCCCAAACAAACAAAGACCGAAGACGGAGGGAGTCTGGGGAAGAGCAGACAGAAACAGCACAAGTGGCGGAAGGGTGTGCATCGGGTGCGTCCGGACCCTGCTGGTGGAGACCGTGGTCGTTTCCGCTTGGCTGGGTGTTTGGCTTTCATTTTTTTGAAAGGAAAGGTCAGTTAAAAGACACGAAGGGCCCGTGGGGGGCTCTGGTGCTCCTCCACGAGAAGATCAGAGAGGAACAGTAGGGCGATTATTGCAAGAGGGAGCTTTCTGGAACTGAAGACCGAAGTTCTCAGACAGAACACGTGCAGAGGGAGAGCAGGATGGACGGATGGCAGCCTCACCGGCCCGCGGGCGGCTTCGGGGCGGCAGCACAGAGAGGAGGAGGCCTGCGAGGATGGTATGGGCGGGCGGGCGGCGTGGACGTGTCCTGCGAGGTGTGGACGCTTGGCCGTGGGAGCCCCCGGAGCGTCGGGGCGGTGAGGGAGAGGCCTCCAGAGGTTTGCACCCAGAGGTGACAGTGACCTTGAAGACAGCCCCTCCCCCAGCAGGGCGTTGCCGTGGGCACCAAGCTGGACGCCTGGGAAGCTGGTCATCAGGAGAGGACACGGGTGGGACAGTGGCCGAGGGGGATGTGGGGTCAGGGAAGGGTTCGTAGCCACTCAGTTACTTGCACTAGATAAAGAGTAACCACTGAATGGGCTAGAGCCCCTGTCATTCTGGACCTTTCTCTCACTTGGAACACTTTCCATCAGCATTCAACCGTGGGTCCCGCATGGTTACCCCCAGCACCAAAAGCCCAGGCCCACCGAGGCCACGTCACCACGGCCGTCCTCCTCCTCTGTCCTCAGAGCGGTTCCTGACGGGATGGCACAGGGACCCACCCCGGGGCTCGGGGAGACGGGACGTTTCCGTGCAACTTGCTGAAGTATTTGTAAAGTGGGGGCTCGGGGGGTCTCCCCGGTGCCTCCTGGGGGCTCGCGCGGCCTGTGAGCAGAGCCCCGGTCCCACTGCCTGGGCCGCAAGCCACCCTGTCCAGACCACACAAAACACCTGGCTTTGTACTTACCCTTTGCCCGGTGCAGCGGCCCAGCTGGCCGTGGCTCCCGTGTGGGCCAGCGTGACACAGCACAACCCCTCCCCTCCCTGCCCGGTGTGAGCTCCGCGGACGAGGGAGAGGTCGGCATGGCCGGCCTCTCGCCTGCCCCATCCCATCCCCGCACGAACCAGCCAGAGAGGAGTGTGGGAAACACGGACCCTTCTCCCAGCTTCTAGAACACAGGCTGCTTTTAGGGAAAACGTAGCAGAAACAAATACCGTGTTTCTCTGGTCTGACGCCAGGGGCCTGCGCTGCTCCCGCGGTTGGGGGCACCGACCCTGGAGCCGCTGGTAGGCGCTCCGGGCAGGGCCTTTGTGGCGGCCGGCTCCCTTCCCTCCGGGTCGGGACTTCTTGAGGGCATGTGGGAGCTGTCCTCTGCCCCAGGCCAGGGCGGCCTGGCCGCGGGCTGGCCACGTCCCCGGTGGCCGAGGGTGAGGTGCTCCGCCTGCACCGGACACGTGCTGCGGTTCCGAGCAGAAGTCCCCTGGCGGAAAGAGGGTGGGAAAAGCATGGGGGTGCCCCCCCACCCCGGCCGCTGAGTTACGCGCCCCTCCCCCGTCTTTCCCGCCGGCTGACTTGTGCATCCTGTTTGTTTTCAGTGCAAGTGGTCAAGGAAAGGCTTCGTGCGGACGAGATGGTGTGTCGCGGACTGGTAGGTTTACCTCCGCTTCTGAATTCTGGAACATTCTCGCTGGTTGTGCACGCGTAGTGGGGGGCGAACGTCCCATCAAGAGTTGCCCCGACTGGAAGGCCCCGAGTGCCCGCCGCCCTGTGGCTTTGTCTTCGGTGACGCCGTGTGACAGGGAGTGTAGTCACTGTCCCCGTGTCCTGTGTCCCTGCACCGGCCCACCAGAGGCCCCACCACCTCCTCCCGTGGGCGTGAGCGTTGCCCAGGCAACCAGCCGCTCCTGTGGTGGTCCCAGTGCGGCCACGGTCCGCTGCAGTTGGCCCGGAGCGCAGGGCAGGCAGCCCGCCCCCAACCCGACCCTTGGGCCCTGCCTCCTTTGGGCTGGCTCTCCATCCGGTGTGGCCGCACCCCTTCTGCAGAAACCCCTTACCTGCTTTCCTAACGTGCACTCACGGGGCCACCGCGGGGCTGAGGGTGCCTGCAGTCCGCACCCGCTCTTAGGGTCTTAGAGGGGCATGTGTCCCGCCGGTGGCCGTGGAAAGGCCTTCTGCTGGCCGAGGGTGCGTCCAGACGGGGTGCCCCATCCCGGGCCGGCCCTCAGCTGCCCCTGCTGTTGGCCGGGAGCCTCCCCAGAGCCCCTCAGGGCTGGCTCTCCCTGGAGCAGGGGCAGGAGGAGCCCCAGGCCGAGCCTCAGACTCACTGCTGGAATCCAGGGAGCACATAGTGCCCTCGCTCACGCCACGCCGGCCACCTCGGCACAGAGCGGGCCGGGCCGTGGTGGGGTCGTTAGCTCAGCACACGCATCTCATGGGGTCTTGGGCCCCCACAGGGCCCCTGGCACTGTGACAGCTGTAG